ACATCCTACAGATCGGTGACATTCTTTACCGGTCTCACAATGGGAGTACTGAATTTGGGTTACTTATAGCTCAATCTGGAAGTGTGAATATTCACGGGAGTCCAGGTAGTTATTCTAAGACATGTGGAGAGTCTCGGGGACCATATAAACTCTGAAGGGTGGTATTGGAGCACGTACAATGAACGGAAGAACATCTACTGCTGAATTGTACCGAGTCGATCCTCAACGATCTCGATTGGGCACCAGATCGGCCATGTTCTCGGTTTATTATGGACATATCGTTGATGGAACTATTGGGTCATAATGAATATGCTTGTTGAAGGTCTATGAGTGATGTCCCAAAAGCTCAGGCTGATAGAGCCAGTAGAAGCCGGTTGAATTGACGTCGCAAAATGGATTTAGACATATTTGGTATTTGGGTACTATTTATTGCTCCCCGGTGCCAAAAATGGAAATTTGGTACCGTATTTGGGATTTGGGTGCCCTTTTGGCGTTTAGGTACGATATAGAGGATATTGGCGCTATCTTTGGAGTTCAGGTGATAAATTTTCGATACGTGTTCAAGGGGGCGGTCAAGTTTAAAGGTTATACCGATTTTGAGAGTGACCTACAGTTTGGAATAGGCGTAAGAATAGGATAACTAGTAATTTGGTTGGTTAATAAACAGACTTGAACTCTACTTCTTCTGCACACGACGCGCGTTCCCCCTCTCTTTTCCGGGCAAGATTGATTTGGCTTCCCCGGCGTTGTAAGGCACGCGTGTTGGAAGAACACAGAAGACAGATCTTGGATTTTTGGCCAAGATCGAGAAGAGAGATCCCGCACAATCTGGTCCGGATCGATCAAGTACTCCACTCAACTCAACTTCTAGGGCAGCAGCAACAACGGAAAAGGATTGGACACAAGATCGCAAAGCGTCTCAAGTGGTTAAAAGATCTGGACAAGGAGTCCAAGACACGACCGAGCAAGGTCGAAGAGATCTACAAGGCAGATCGGCTCGTTTCATTTTGGCGAAGCGCAAGATTCATCTGTTACACTGCGCACTTTCGACAAGATCGTCCGATCCCAAGACCAGATTGGACCACTTCCAAGGCAAGCTCGACGCAAGACTATTATTTGCTGAGTGAAGATTTCCGCACAGCAAAGACACCGATCCCGAAGACAAATCGAGATCGGTGTGATTCAAGATCAAGATCGCGACCTCTCCACATAGTGATCGTCGCGACTCAAGACCAGATCGCAGAGCCCCAGTTCGTGGTGTGAAGATTTCCGCACCGAAAGCGAACGCTCAATCCAACCTCTCAGCGAGATCGACATCTCCCAAGGCCATTACGAAGAGCTCAAGCCAGCCCAGCCGACGGGTACACAAGGTGAGCACAGGGCTATACAACAAGGCACAGATCGGAGTACCCCCTCCGTGAGTCGGCAAGTCTGGACCAGTGGAAGATCGACCCTCACATCTGCGATTAAGTGAGATCGACTTTTTTTACATGAACCTAAACTGGAGTACTGGATCGCTAATGACAATGGGATATCGTTAAATATGGAAGCAAGCTGGAAGAGTAGATCGTCCAGACAATCAAGTATGCGAAGTGTCGGACGTGACGGCAATACGACCTTGGATGCCCGATCGAAGATGCAACCGATCGATCACGATCTATTCTGGGTGTGTACTGCTGATCGGTGTGGATCACATATGCGATCCATTATCTCGCGATCCATTGCACTGCGATCCGCGGCATCGCGATCCACTATGTAGCGATCCACTATGAAGCGGATTGAGGTGGATCACATAATGAGTGTGGATCACATACCGCGATCCACTGTACCGCTATACACTATGGAGCGTACCAAAACGGAGTGTCTGATGTGGACTACATGAGGCAAGAAGTGAATAACATAGACAGGCGGTACACAACAGTTGACCTAACGAAAAAATAGGCATAGTGATAGGTTTTGGATTTTGTTGGTTGACAATAAACAGAATTGAATTTGCAACGAAATACACGCGTCGACTTCTCCCGGGCAGGAACTTTGGCCTCCCGTTGAATAGAGAGTCGCCCACGTCTCTGCAAGCTTCGCCCTTGGATTTTTTGGCCAGGCGGAACATCATTTCTCACCCCCCCAACTGCGATCGGACGCAGGGAACCTAACGGTTCAGATTCAAGATCGCGAGACGGCTCAAGTAGTCAGAAAGCTCGCGGATCAATAATCATTCTTGGCAAAGGCGACTCTGGGAGAGCGCCCAAGTTACAAGCGATCGGGTGAAGAATTTCCACGCGATCCGCCCCTACGTTTGATCGGGTGAAGAATATCCACCCGATCAACACCTATCCCTAAAACGGTCAAGTTCAGCTTCAGCTCAAGTTCATCAAGAAGAGCGCAACCCGCCCCACCGACGGGTACAGAAGGTGAGCAAGAAGACACAAATCACGGAATCTGGGTACCCTCTCATTTAGTCGATCGTCCGGGCGCCAGTGGAGAGTAGAATTCACAAGGAATTTGTGATCACCACTCCACCACAGATTCTTTCAAGGAAGGTCTGACTTACCGACTTCACGGGGTTAGTTTTAAAAGTGTCAAAGCGACGCCTAATGATGCATTATAGTGAACATATACAAGGTCAGGACAATTTCATTGTACCACACCGTTTGATCCCGCTAAGCCACTCTACCCTTCCAATACCTGACATTTTTGCGCTTCTCTTACGCTTTGGTAGATAACTTTCCTACTATACCATCTAGATAGCCTCCCCCGGAATCTATAATCTCTTATGAAAATAAGGAACGTTTAATAAAGAGTATAGAGTTCAAATTCGTTTGTAATTAACGTTACAGCGCGTGAAACGGCTTAAGTGTAGCGGTTCCCCGGTTTAAACTATGGCTTAATGCGATCAAGCTACAACGTGTGGTCATAAAATACAAATACAGTTTAAGGCGCATCTGAACCTAACACGTATCGCCTAGATATGAGTCGGCACGAGCCGATGGTTCCCGCGAGCTCATGTCTTACTTAAGCTTGCGCCTAGGCAGCGGAAACTCGCAGGTATTGTGCAATACGGGAACCGTATTATACTTCTTAGGCACTCGCTAATTGCTTGCAGTATTGAATGAGTGGATTGGCGTGATCTCTTGCGCATCAAGACATTGTCCCCTAATGTTTACGAGGAACTGTACCGGCTGAATTTCAATATTTCCTCTCGCTGGAACCGGTTGGCGAACAATCTCTTCTGCCCGGCTACAAAACCGATTGCTTACCGACTATCTATGACACCAAGAGCTATATTTTTTTATAACTTACCCATTATCCCGGTGACGTTGCAAAGTATTGCTGCCGTTTGGAGCAGGTTAGGCAGTCTCACCGTTATCACCCTGTCGTGCACAATCTTTTTACTGGAGCTTCTCGGACCTCTCGCGCGTGCCTTGGATTTAGTGCAACCTGCTCATCATCCGTGCGTGAGGACATTTGTAGCTCGTAAAATCGTGTTTGAGGGACACGGACGCATCATGGCGTTTTGTCTCGATTTTACTTATCGGAATTTGGTCGAAGCGTCTATGTCGAATATATGATCCAAATTTATTCGATGCTAGCCACCGCGCATCGTCCCAAGACGGTTTTCGTCGTGCAGTTGCTCGGTTCCGTGGGTCCACTCACTAGACCGGTGACCCTGCTGAGAATTTCGTGCTGGCCACGTGTTAGATAAGCTTGGGCGGATGAGTTAATGTTTAATTCGGTTCTGCCACCCTTGCAACTCCCGAGTTTGGGACAGTCGCACACGGACCAATTGATCATTTTCTTTTCAGGAATATCGCGCGGTAACCCCGGATCTGGTTTGATCGGGTCCGTCGTCGTCCGCCTTCAGGACCAGTTACATACTTCCGGTATCGTCTGGATTGCTAGTAAAGCACCTGGATCTCTTCAATGGCGTATAAACGTCTCCGTACTGTAGTGTAATTTCGGTTTGCGCCAGAAAAATACCAGCTGCTTTACGCTGTTGCATGTCATTGGGGACAGCCCTACGATTGTATCATAGCTTTGGCGACACCGATCATCTCTCAAACTGCACCTGGATGCACTATATGTATATCGCGGGCTCTAGTGGATGATATTTTACTTGCCATCTGAACTCATTGATCTGCGAGTTTAACAAAATGGCCAGATATGCCACGACCGTGGCGATTCGTGCCATCTAAGTGCTTCAGGTTCACCTACCATTTGAGCTTAGTTTCGCCCAGAGACTCCGACAATTTGTCAATCTCCATTCATCCCATTGGCTCGAGACGTCGCTCAACGTGGACACCAGCCTTCCGACTTGCCGCTCGTCAACCCCGTGCGACCCCGAGCACCAGCAAACTATCAACTGGGAGCTATACGAGGAGAGGTCTGTCCTGTAACACTGCACGATACTCGTCATTAGCTCCACCGGATAGCTAGATCTATCTGTAACAGGTATTGATGGTCGCAATCGTTCATCAACACGCTTCACATTTAACAACATTATCATTACAGCGTGCGTGCTCTCGGATACACATACACGTGATTGTTGGGGGAGGCGAGAAAGAAGCATAGCAAATGGTGAAAGTAGAACTTCATTCAGTATAGTAAATGTTCTTTCAATCAAAATCCTGTGTCTTACTTCAACTATAGGTACAACTACAATATCCTGTGTAGGTTTCTCGCTCACCATCCATTGCGCGCGTCTAGCAGCGATAAGTAGATCAATATAATAATTATATTAACCAATGAGTAGACCCTTGGGTCATCGCAACAATGTCACAAAGCTCAGTAATTTTGTGACGATAATGCTAAACTTAATGTTCTCTATTCTCGTACTGTCATAAATGACAATATTATCACTGAGCTCAGTGATTTTTTTACGAGAATGCTAAACCTTATGTTTTCAAGAACCAGATTGTCACAAATGGTAATATCATATAACAGGATCGACCCGCTACACTTTGTGCACAGCTCGATAGACCTCAAGCATGCGAACGTGACTCATGAAGGTTCTCTCTCTTCTGGCGTTGTTGGCGGCCACTGCGCCTTTGAAACGAGTTGGCGGCTCGTCCGTCCAAAAAGTGGCGAGAAACAGCTCCTTAGCCGAGACTAGTCCGTTCGTCGAGGACCCGGAGGAAGTATCAATTACCATGCGCGCGGGAAGTGATGAGCCAGAAGATAGCGGCGACGAGAGGACGGTCGAGTGGCCGAATTTGGCTCAAAAGGCCGTGTCTAAGCTTGCCAAGCTTGCCAAGCTTTCCAACATATTACTTTCACTCGAGACGAATGAAATGAAGGCGTTCCGCGAGGTTCAGGTCAATAAAAAGGCCTTGGAAATTCTGAAAAGCTCCAATACGCAAAAAACTTCGATTGCGGCACCCACAAAAGCGGACGAGGACGGCGTCGTGGAAATAGCGCTCGCCGGATTGAAGAAGTTTGGTGATGTAGAGACAAAGACGACCACCACGACATTGTCGGAGCAGCAGTTGGACGGCTGGCTAAAGGACGTTGTATCGCCTGGCGATTTTCTGACTTCGCTCAGGCTGCATGAAGGTCATGTGGGCGCAAAGCTGGAGGCTTTCGATCAATTTCTCACTGCTCACAACAAGAAAAATCCCGGCCACATCGATATACTCGACTTCTTGACGTTGAAACTTGGCGGCGAAGGTGAGTTGGCGTCGGTGTTGGCGAAAGACGCAAACGGCGACGCGACCGTAAATGCAAAAACTGTGGCGCTAGAGGAGATGCTGCTTTCGAAATGGAAAAATGAAAAGCTGTCCGCGCTAGACATCGTGGATCGGCTTAAACTGACCGAAACAATTGACGATCTACTAAGCCCAAAGCTAGCGACGTTCCTGAAGCACATTGCGAGTATCTCTGGTGACGCAAAGGATCCGGCGGATGAAATTACGCTGCTTCAGATGTCTACGAATCGCTTTGGAGATGAAGCTGTCGCAGTGGCATTGGTGAGGGCAAGGGACGATGCTTTCTTGAAGTCACACGTGGATAAATTGGAAATACGACTTGTGGAGATCTGGCTAGCTGATGGAAAATTACCTGAGGACGTTTTCGGTATGATGAATATAGACGCAGCCAGGACGGACGCACACTTTGGTCAGCAGGTGGTGGTGTTGGAAGACTTCATTGAGCTTTACAACAAAAAGGAGAATGCACATGTCTTGCTGCTTGAAGTTATGACCTCAGGCTGTGGTGGTGAGGACAACTTGGCATCAACGCTAGGAATCTTACGGATAAATCCTCTTGCCAGTGCGAAAGTTTTGGACCTGGAGTCACTGCTACATAAGAAATGGAAAGTCGAGAATTTGACGCCAGAAAATGTCATCTATCGGCTAAAGATGGACAAAAGTGTGGAAGAATTGACAAGCCGAAAACTAGGAACGCTCCTGAAGTACAGTGCCACGTATAACAAAGAGAATGTGGGCTACGGGTTTTCGCTGCCTGATACGTTCACGCAGCTCTTTGGATATAACGATGTGGTAGAAGCACTGGTAAAGGATAAACCGTTCTATGATTCGACAGCGGACATAAAGATGTTCGAAGCGCAATTGATACAGAACTGGATAGCTCGTAGGCATTCGATAAAATTTGTGACATCGACACTGAAATTTCTCGGAACAAAGCCTCCAAGATATTTTGATCAGCGAGTGGAGATGTTCGAAAGTTTTCTCAAGCTTTACAACGAAGGGATGTCCACCCAATTGGAGTTGTTCCCAGCCATGATTTCGTGCTACGGTGGTGAGCATGTACTAGCACAGGTTTTAGTATGGGCCATGGCCTACGAAGGCCCGAGCAAACAAACTTTGAAGCTGGAGAGACAGCTGCTTTCAAATTGGAAAAATGAGAAGTTGAGGCCGAATGATATCGTACGCAGGCTTAGAATGACGGATGACGTGAAAGGATCGGCAATCCCAAAGCTAGTGATGTTCATGAAGTACATTGCTACGAGCTACAGAAAGAGATGGAAGCTTATGCGTACGCTTCCTGAAATGTTCACGGAGCGCCTTGGGGACGAAGATATGATGGGGGCACTGGTATTGGCAAGCAAGATCGACGTTTTGAAAGAAGACATAAAGGTCTTGATAAATCAGGTTTGGAAGAGGCGGCTAGCCGCTGGCGAACCCATTGATCGTGTGTATAAGTCGCTGGGGATAGGTAAAATGGAGTCGATGGCATTTTTTGATCAACAAGTGGAGGTGTTGAAAGAAATTATGAAGATCTACAACAAAAGTAAGTTGACCGATGTCGATTTGCTGACGACCATGACGTCTATTTGTGGTAGTGAAGAAAATCTTGCACGGATCTTAGGATGGGCTACAGGTTATGAATACCGAAGTAAAAAAGCGTTGGAGCTGGAGAACCTGCTGCTTGAAAAATGGCGAAATGAAAAGCTGACGCCAGAGGCTGTCATGCATCGGCTTGGTATGACAAGACGGGTTGATGAAATGACAGGTCCAAAGCTAGAGATATTTGTGAAATTTATGGATATGCACCAGAAAGAAGATCCAACGCGTGAGCTGTCGGTCTTGAAGATATTTACGACGTATTTCGGACATGCATGTGTGGCGGACGCAGTGGCGAAGGCAAGGGCGGGTCGCTTGCCGGATGCGTACGAGAAGGTCCTGGAACCACAACAATTGAAGATATGGCTAGCTGAAGGTAAAACAGCTGATGACGTGCTAAAGATACTGAGGCAGGGTGTATGGGTTACACCCAGAATACTTTTTGATCAACTAGTCCCCGTTTTGGAAAACTACATCGAGCTTTACAACACAGAGAATTTTTCCCATGTCGATTTGCTCAGGGTCATTATGTCAGGCTTCGGTGGTGGAAAAGAGTCAAGTGTAATCTTGTCTCAAGCAACGAGACAAGATAGCAATAGTGAAGGAGCTGTCAAAATGTCGAACAGGGTACTTGCGGGATGGGGGGCTAAGAATTTGTCGCCGGGAGATGTCCTTGTTCGGCTGGGAGCGGCTGAAACGGTAGATCAGCTGACAAGCCCAGTGCTTCCGATAGTCAGACATTACGCTGACACCTTTAACAAAGCGTACCCGATGCGCAAGTTTTCGCTATTAGAAACCTTCATCTCGCGCTTCGGTGTGAATGCGGTGGTGGGGGAACTAGTAAGGGCAAGGACGGCCGGCCCATCAAATCAGCACGTGAAGGAACTGGAGAAAGAGCTCTTGAGCAGTTGGTATAGCGCGAACAAGTCAATCGAGGAGGTGTTTGCGCTACTTGATATGAAGAGTCACGTACACAAGGCTTCGAGAGATCTGAAATTCAAGTTGCTGATAAAGTACATGGAGTCGAAACACAGTTGGTCGTGGCCGTCGATCTTTGAGGCGCTGGAGAAATGCTACGATGACGATATCAATCTCGCGCTCACGCTTGTCGAAGCATATCAAAAAGATACTGACATACAGGATTTTGCCTATGAATACCTGACGTCTTTGTTCGACCGATGGTGTAGTGAAAGCGTAAAGCCTGACAGTGAATTCATCAAAAGAGTCAAAGAGAGAGATGCGGTAAACTGGGCCACGCTTGTTGACATGTACACGGAGTATTACGATGAAGAAGCAGCAGATGTGATTCACCTGACGACTTCGAGACTCGTGTAAGTGCTTCGCGTCTCGTCAATTTTGCAGTGTACACATAAAAGTAAGTATATGTCGGACATACCCACATTTTTGGAGTGTAGACACCATGTTTTTAGACTTGACTTCGCCTGCCAGACAAATTAGGCATCGTAAGACTTCTAGCGCAAAAAATCGATATGCAGTGCAACACACTGCAAGATTCGGTATTGTGTTCATTCTTCGATCGCGACAAACAAGCTGCATGGAAGTAAACGCTTTGTTTGTGTCGATATAAGAAGCGCTAGTGCATGCTACAACAATAATGTGTATCGAAAAAGTCTCATTTAAGTGGTGCAAGTCTGCATGAGGATAGAGACTTTGTTCACCTCTGCAATGTTTGATGGACATTTTTTAAGGTTGTAGGAATGCAACTAAATGTTACCAATGATCGAGACGCATGGTGTCACCTGCTGCATCTACTTCGTGAGTAGAAATACGGTAGCGATTCGCGATAACAAGCACTATTTCACCAAATTGACAGAAAGTCGACGTGACCGACTACAAGGGATACGCGTGCTGGACATGAATACAACATGCGAGTACAGTGTGATGTCGAAGATCAAACAATTGCAAATGTTCGTAGAGCAAGAGGCAGACCTGTCTTTTTAGCCACCGTACGTTGAAAGATGCCTGATGCATTCGAAGCCTGGACGACAACACCCGTGCGCAATGAGTCTCCGGTCGTTCAACGGGGCTAGCCACCTCGGTGAAGCTTTCGGAATTGCCTGGTTCTGCTGCTGTAGCCTAGTACCAGACAAGCACCTTGTTGTGTCCGTTTCGGCGGCCCCGGCGACCATTTTATCGGAAGCGCACATACACCATAGCGATGGCACATGCCGTGGTATAAACCCCATATTTTTGACCGCTCGCGCGATACCTTGGACTGACTTGCGCGTGTGCCGGAGCAGTGACGCGTGGCGCGGAGCGCCAAAAGTCAAAAAAACCTCTTCGTGCCAACCACCCGCGCGTCCTGAGGTCGCACGGGTAGCGTTTCTAGGCATGTCCTACCGACTTCGGCTCCTACAAGAGAGTCTTTTTGCCGCAGACGGGTGCCGCAATGAGGGGTAAAGGCTTGTGAGGCTTACTCCTGACTACGACAATTTGAGACTGAAACCCTCGCGAACTGTTTGATAATTGGGCCAAGTACAAGATACAGCATCACAAGCGACATGACCTCGCACCCCAATTTAGTCACCAAAACGTCGAGTAGTTGAAATGACGCTGGCAAAGAAGTTGCAAAGAAGTTGACTCTAAAGTCATCACTTCGTCGATGTACGCAGTGGCAAATTCCCTCACAGAAATGACCCTTGTGTAAATAGCTTCTGTAGTAGCGTAGAGCACTCTGCTAAATCGTGCATCGTAATGCTATCTGAGAAAGACTTCATATTCCTCGTACAGCCTGAAGCGCTGACAAGCAAGAACTACAAAAACGGACAAGTGTGTGGGGCGGGCAGTGAGGCCAAAATCTGCAACGGCTGTGCTACAGGGAATCAAACAACCGGCAGATACTGTCCTGCTTTAGTGATGCGTGCACGTCTATTGAGCTCAGGATACAACGGTCGACTCGCCTCCGATGTGTGAAGAGCTGTGATGTGCCATTTGTCACGAGACCCAGCAAATGTGTCGAACGTCCCGGTCAATTGTAGGATATTCAGGTCGACCTCTAGTCCTGGATGACAGGCTACGTCAAGGCGCTGATGCGAAGAGCCATATGCCTTTATAAGTTGCTTCCGTACGATCCTCAGTACTTGACAGTAAGGGCATTATCGCCGCAAAAGACCTTCCTGATCATGACCTTCTCATTATGGTCGAAAAAACTCGGCGGATATGAGCGATATACGCGCTACTCTACAAATCTCTAGACCAAATACGCAAGATAAATGTGGCTTCATCTCAGAACAAGACAGCCTGTCTCCGTTTTCGACAAAGCTTCCTGTTTCGGATCCCAAGTTGTGGTCAAGACTAGCAAATGTCCGACAAGCTCACTTTCAAATTTGTTTTGTAAGCGCACAATCCTAACAATCACGTGCCAGCAATCAGGCTAAAACGTTTTCATGCACACAAGCCGGTTACACGCTAATTATCTTGCGCCCGGTCATCCCTATCGGAGCACGCCCCACGCTGGCTGATCAGCGGATCTTGTCACTGACGATCTGCCAGCGTTGATGAAATGAGAACCACCCGACACAGAGGTTGGGAAGTAGCATTCGTAGCGTTCAGAGGTGCACTTTGCAACGGAGGTATACTGTAGGTGATTCATCCATTACCTTGGTACGTGTACAATGGGATAAACCACTCTCAAAATCATTGTCGCTTCAGCCACCAACAATGCGTTGCAGGTGTGACTCTAGTAGAGGGTAAAGACTTCCATTTTATTAGATACGCAGGATTTTCTCCGTGTTGATACTAAACAAACGTTAGTTCGCATTTTGGTCGGTGTAAGTCACATGCCTTGTGAATGCGTCCATGATCACTCGAGTTTATGATCTTGTTCAGACACATACTCGTTCGTACTTGGTGCTGTTGATTATCTAAATCTAAAAGTGCCTAAAACCAAAACTAGAAGATCAGTGCAGAGCAGAATCGGTGAACCGTGTTCTTGTAGCACATTGGGCTCAATCGCATTCCTCATCAAATTGAAATCACGTGGGGCATCTGACGCCTCATCCACTTACGCCTGGCGGCACTGAATCTGGGGGAAATCTTCACAGGTTGATCATGTCTTATAATTTTCGAAGCACGATCCCCGAAGCGAGAGCGAAGACACAGGACCAGCCGTCATTGGAGGGTCTGCCACAGGTAATGGATGAAGGGATGGTAGAGGATCGTAAAGTAGCTCTTTATGGACCTATACGAAATTCAAGGATGTCAATGCTATCTGAACTATATGCTATAATTAATGACACAGCTGAGACATATACTGCACTCGTTTTCCGGGAGAAAATTGGTTTTACAATTACACAGCGACAAAAAGGTATTATTTACCATTTCTTCGAGGAACATTGTGCAGCTGCGACGCACCTCATAAGCAATGAAAGACTAGATTTCCAGAAAGGCGACTCATATTCTGTACAACACCAAATAGGCCTTCGAGTCCATTCTGCAACTCACATGATTACCAAAGTCGAATGAGACAATCTAACACTAACGAATTATTGGGCGAAGGCTACCAAGGTGGATGTACTATCCTTCAAGGTATCTTATCGACCACGAGACCACATGTATACATACAAAACATTCACGTTTGACTTGGTAGTGTACAACGCACAATGTTTCGAGAATTGGCGGGCGCTTTGCTTGCATCTGGAAAAATCCATTCAAGCAGCTGAATTCCTGACGAAGAGCAGAACGGATGTAGCATTCTGAATCGGGTTGCGAACATCGGCATAGTCTGCAGACGCTTGTCTGAATTTTTGAAGATCGCTCTCGACGCGAAGGAGCGAGACTTACACACAGGACAATTCGAGCGTAATTGGAAGGTGTTTTTTAGACTGCGTAGTAATATCTACATTTCGGCTTGTCGCCTACGTACATAATTTAGTTACCGAGAGTACGTTGATGAACGCAAGTCGATTGAATGTGATCATGACAGAGCTATGGAATATTTATACAACATCACCAAGACGATTAGCTACAGTCCACTTAAGCGATGTATGTATCTTTTCTCTTTGACAGAGATACGAAGCGTCATTTTCTTCTTACGTCAACGTTATCTTTTGGAACGCTGTGTACCGGGTGGCCAATATGCGTCCGACCGCCAATGGATCTGTCTGGTCCCGGTAGTTTGTACTTGACGGGACCCCACGTCGATGCATACACGAAGTATGCAGTAAAGTTTCATATCGTCGCCCATTTCACATACTTCGAAAGGCTTACCGCGTACTTCCAGGAATATGGCGCATCAAAGTTTGATCCGAAAGACCCCATATCTGCACATACAACGCCCAAAGTTATACTTTGTAGGGATTGGCGGTGGATTGGCGTACTAATATATTCTTACGCAGAATGGAGCGATTCATTTGATTTGGATGGCTTATCATTCTGAAGCACTTTGACAGTGCAATGCGGTGGCTAGTTCGTCCGTTTGGGAGGTAGTGCTAGACATTGGATCAATATTAGCCCATAGTATCCTGGTAACTTCCTAACGGAATTAGAAGGCTTCATAGTTGTCCACGCCTTTTTGGCAGCTTGGCGGAAATTTAGGAAATGACGGCAAGCAGGCTGCAACTACAAAATGACCAAGACAATCAAGCTCAAGCGTCTATGATAGTTACTTTGACAGGAACTGGGTCATCCGCCGCACCCACGACGCCGTATCCAGTTTGAGCGGCTCCTACCGCATTGAAATCTTCACAGATCGTACCTTTTGATAAAAAGGTGGCTGAAAGTCCCAATACGAAGAGGTAATAAATTCAAATCCTAATCCCATTGCCCGATCCGCGCGTAATCAGGCGATTTCTTCAATTATGCAGATCTCTTTAAGATGTCAGAAAAACTGATGCCGATTCTAGTTCCTGTAATTCCACGCATCATGTATATAACATCACTCATCTATCTTCTATTGATGACGTGGACAACGCATGTCGCCGACCTTCGCGTAGGCATATAAATCTGTTCAATTTCGTGTGACAAAATTGCTGTACGGCAATCCATTCCACAGTCATTCCCACAAATGAAGCGGTAACGTGCTAAGTTGAATGAAGTAGGAGTCAATTCATGTATGCTTGAACTCGAATATCGTCCTATATGTATTGGATTAAAACGGGCGACGATTTTCCCACCTTTGAATAACGGCTAGTACTAATGACGGTGACGACAAATAAAGACTAAAACTGGTGACAATGACAACCTATGCATTTGGGAACTGTATGGAAATTGAGGTTTTACAAGTGGTGACTGACCAAGACCAATTCGCCCGCGATATCACACGTAGTTTAATATGGCAAGCTTCAAGAGTGATTTTTATTGGGCGGTTGCTCGCA